TAGTTGCAATCCAAAGCATTAGAATACTTAAAATCAGTATAATCTGCCGCTTCAAACCCGTATTGATAGGGGCGGCAGAAAATCTCAAATCCAAACAAAGAGGGGAAACGACCGCTAGGATTCCTCTCTCGAGATTAAACTAAAAGTATTATTAGTGGCCAATCCCCACTCAGGGACTTGAGGGAACGGTGGTTGCCTAGAGATTGGTGGAAGTTAGGAGTTTGTTATTTCAAATTTCAATTACTAAATTTTAACATTAAATTTTCTTTCAAAATGTTGGGTGTGTTTCGGAAAATAAAGAAAAATTAATTAATAAATATTAATTAAATTTAATGACTAAAGAAAAACAAGAAAAGATATGGAGCAGAAAGTAATCAAAGCTCGTGCTACGCACGATTTCCTTAAAATGTATTCGTTGCCTCCCAGGGTGCTAGGAGCGTTGCAAGAATATAATCGTTTCCCAGAATACGATGACTAACGAGCAACCGTTTAAGCACTTAAACGATTGTTCTTGCGAACGTGAACAAGCGTGAGTACATTTGTGAGTTGTGTCTTGTTGTAAATCACCTGCCAGCTACTTATAGAAGGGATTAGGAGCTGTGTTAATGAAGGTTTAATGGACATGAACGTTGGCAATCAATGTCCGGCACGTTGGCATTGATTCTCGTCTAGAAAACCGTCTGTTTAATTGCAATAAGTCACAAGAACGTTGGGCATTTAATGTGTTGTAACGTCCCAACAGCAGACTAATGTGCAAGGAACAGCTGAGCCTACTGCGGACGTAGTAGCAGTAGCCTGCTCCAACCTGGAGCAAAAAATAGGAAATTAACGTTTATCTTTAGAAGATAAAATTTTCGGACGACATTCGTGTCCGCAGGTCGCCCCCGCTTTTTGTTCTTCGGTTCGGGATTTGATTCGCACCCCCCTGCGCGCGAGAGAGAGCCTTTACCCTAAGGAATCTTAACTCCTTAAGGGGGGTTTCCCTTTATAAAGGGTTCAATTTCCCCTGGGTTTTCTGGTGTGGGAAAAACTACAGTAGAAACCCATCATTTTTCCTAGTTTTCACCATTCCAACGAGTGACCTTCAAGAATCAATTTCTCATTCACCCGTTATCCGTTTTGAGTGTACCATATATCGAATTGTAGCCCTAAGCAAGGCCAATCCGAAACCACTTTGACCTGACCCAAACCAGAAGTGGATCCCACTAAAAAAATTGCCCCGAAATGACCATTTAATGCAATTTATTAACACTTTTTCCAACAAAAAAAACATTAAATTTTCATACGGAGGCGTGCAGAGTAGTCCGGATAGAAGTCTTCAAAACTGATGCGAGACCTTAGGCAAATTCCATTTCGAATTTCAATTCCAATTACTTCTTGCTCCTGTTTTTTAGGCCCTCCCCTGATCGGAGGCCCTAGGTAAACGCCTGGGTTGACTGACCCCAAAGCCGGCTCTGTTTAGGGTTAATGTGTTTTTTACAACTTCAGTGTTCACACAATACACTTTGAGTGTTAAAAAGGAAGTTCTTACCAATCAAATTGGTTTAGTCGGTGGCGTATCCATGAATTGGTGTGAGGGGGGCGAGTTAATTAATAACACATATATTATCTCAGGCAAATTATACCCTATGACCGGCACACCATGAGGATTGTGTGCCCGGTCCCAAAACAACACGGAATACTTGCGCAAGCTAAAAAATGCGTGAACCAGGCTCTGCACCTTGGATTTAATTTTGGATAGAAGCATAGGGTCTGCACCTTCGATTTAAAAACAGTCCTCATGGTTGCTTTTACTTTCAATTTCGACATACGTGCACACCATGTTTCAATTTCGAAAGTTTGCCATGTACTTGGTATTACTTTTGTGAAATTTTCTGCACTATGAATGTTAGTTAGTTGGATTTTATAGGATTTCAGTTTGTTTTTAATCGATTGGGTTTTGAGACTCATCAGAACCAGAATTGATCAATGGAGACCTGTTTTGTTGAAGATGACTGATGAATTATTTTAGATCTTCCTCAATTTACATCTTGGGTACACTCAAGTTATATCAAGATTTGTCTAAAGTTACATATCCCAAGTTACATCTAATTTGTTTTCAAGTTACATTTCAATTAAAGCAGTTTACATCTCAACGAGTTACATGTGAATGAGTGTAATTTACATTTTGATTAACTTGAAGTTACATGTGAAATCCCACGAGTTACATTTCATGTAGCCATGGGTGCATGGTGCTCACCATGCACCGGTTGCACGGTATAGACTGTGTACACTATTATCGAGTCGAGACGAGCCTGAACTCACATATGCTCAAACTCAAGCTCTAAAATATTCTACACACATGAATGTGATAATAATGATCTCAGTTGGTTTTTAACCTGGTTTTAAATTAAATGAGCTAATGAAAAAATGAATACTTGCTCCGTATTATTATAAATTAAAATGATTACATATGGTTATAACAATAAATAATATTATATTCAATTATTACTAGTATAATATCATAAGTATTAGAAATAAAGTAATCCTCAATTAGAATAAATATTCTATATATATATACATATACACCCACACACATATTAAGGCTCGCGAACCGGCTCGCGAACCACGAGCCTAAAATAAACAGGCATGATTCAAGCTTGTTAAGTATTCGAGTCGAGCCGAACTCGAGCCGAGCTGACATATGCCGAACTCGAGTCGAGTTTTTACCGAGCGAGCCACAAGCGACTCGCGAACTGCTTGGCTCATTTGCACCCCTAGTCATTATATTAGATTTTCGTAATATTCATATAAGGTTAAGTAAAAATAATTTATTTGTTTAAGTCTACAAGGTATCTGTTTGATATCTAAAGTGTACGTTCAATTTTTTTGTGCTAATTATTAATTTTGTAGAACTATATGTGTGAGTGTTTGATAAATTAAATCCTAGAATCAAATTAGTAAAGCTGATGTTTTTAAATTCCTCGATGACGAATTAATTGTCTACTTTCAAAAAATGCCTGATGGATTGATTGAATTCTAAAACTAATTTAATAAAGCTTGGTAACTTTGAAATTCACAGATAATAATTAACTTATGTATTAATTACGTTTAATAAATGGTTTACCTAGAGCAACATGTTTCAAAAAGTCCAACCATTCTCATTTGAATATTACAGAAAAAATGGTGACAATTAAATCCCAATACTGATTTTTTTGGATGAAAGCGGTTTACATATAAATCAAACCATTTGGAAAGCAGGTAAACAGACAAACTAACTTTAGAAAACCGCCGTCCCGCGAACCAGAGTCGGAGTCAATTACCTCAGTAATGTAACTCGATGATCCATATTTGGGCATAACTAAGCCAGTGACGGTAATCTCAGTTAGATCATCTCCCACATCCAAACCAGAATCCAACATTTTACAACCATTAAAACAGAAAAAACCACACGAAAAACAAGACCAATCAGACCAAAAATAAAAATAAAAAAAGCAATAAAGTAACTGCATAACTGAAACAGCAATCCGCACCCCCAGCTCGTCCCTTTCTGTCTCGTGTCATCCCTAGACAAGCTTACCCCTCTAAGCCCGCCACCTCTCCATTTTTTGAATTGTCCAAAGTCATCTCATCCTCATTCCGGTTTTGAGTTGTCCCTATTTCCCATGTACGCCTGCGTTTTTCTCCAGATGATTCTTCATTATGTTTCAGAACCGCTTCCTTAATAGAAGCACTCCCTGAATCCCCTGAATCTTCTTGCCCTCTCTGCCGATTCCTCCCCGGAGGTGAGGCATCCTCAATCAACCATTTATTTTTCCAGCGGGGCTTATCTTTACCACACCCCCTACCCTGAGAGACGCATCAAATCTATTTTCCAACACCAGACCTTCCAATAATATAATAATTGGGCTATAAAACATAACCAATAATATAATAATTGGGCTATAAAACATAACCAATTTAATTAAGTGTTCGTCTAGATTTGTGTGATTAAAGATGTTTTTATTTGGACTCTTGTCAGTCTCAGACCAGGTCAGATTATAATCGATTAAATTTGAATAATTATAAAATACACAGAGACCAGATCAGATCAAACCAGATCAGAAAATAACATTCTAAAAAGGTGGTGGATAATTAAAGGGGGATCCAATAGTGGGCAAGTCTATACAACATTACATGTGTTTTCCAGATATATTACTCTATTTAATATAGTACATATTACTTTTTAATTTAATCAAATTTTATAAGACGAATGAAGTATTATTTGTATTTATAAAAAATTAACCTTTTCATATACAAACTATATTTTCCGGTGCGATGCACGGGTAAAACACTAGTTTTTGGAAAAAAAGAAAAAGTAGTCATTTTTTGTATTTCAGAAAGTTATTACTAATATTTGTGTCCTTAATCCATTTGTTATTCTGAAGAACCAAATAGGGGAGAACAAAATAACAAATATCAAAGACCACTTTTCAAAAAAACGACCAATTAATCTTCCAAAAATGACTAATTAATGTATAAGCGGAAGAACAAAAAACAGATTCCCAAATCCGATCTCTCGAATAAGAACACCTAATTTTGTTAGGGGTACACAAAATGTGTACACAAAATATGTATACATGTTTGTCCTTCACAGAAATTTTGAGTTGTCTGTGACAGACAAAATTTCTGTGAAAGACAGACATGTGTACACATTTTGTGTACCTCAAACATTTTTCGGGAAGAGATAAAGCTTCTTCTGGAACAGTCAGCGAAAAAAAGAAATCAAAAATAGAGTAATCTCAGTTTTATCCAAAAATTCTAATCACCAAAACCTATAAATACACTCTGAAAAAAAAAAAGGATGACACCCCATCCCTGAGGGCTCCCAACACCGACCGGACGGCACGATGGGAGGATGTAAATTGGACTATAATCACAATCTGACAGATAGAGAGTGGGACTCTGTCGCCGATACTTGCAAAGGCCCTATGCATTTTTCAGCATAGTAAGCCCTCATCGCAGTTGCCCGTATTCGAACCCTCCCTTGCTACCGGTTGAGCTACGCCACCCGTACCTATAAATACACTCTGTATGTGAGAGCCGGTATCTTTAGCGTTCCCGTCTCCAGCCAGGTTTCTTCACACCAAAGCCTATTATCGAAATATTAACCAAAACTCTTCTCACGAAACGGATAATTCCACAAATCTCTGAATCATCTAACGCCTCCTGATTGCGGGTGAATTTCAATCCCTCCATTATTGAATCCGGCCTGAATTTCAACGATGGTGTTGGCGGAGTTAAGGGAGAGCGTTTCGCGTGCTCTCCAGCGGATGAACAATGCGACGGTAATTGATGAGAAGGTTCTCAACGAGTGCCTCAATGAGATCACTCGCGCTCTTCTCCAATCCGATGTTCAATTCAAGCTTGTTCGCGATTTGCAAACTAACATCAAACGGATCGTCAACCTTGAAGAACTGGCTGCTGGACACAACAGGCGTAAGATAATTCGAGAGGCTGTTTTTGATGAGCTTTGCAACATTTTGGATCCTGGAAAGCCCTCATTCACGCCCAAGAAAGGGAAGACTAGTGTTGTAATGTTTGTAGGTTTGCAAGGTAAGTTATCTCTGTTTTTTCACTTTTATATGGATAGTGCAATTCTGGCGATCATTTTGTTATATTATGAGTCTTTTTAGAAGGATATTTATGTTGTTCATCTTGCTGTGTGCTGAGCTTTCAGATGCAAATCTCATTGTTCTCTCTTTTCCCATGATCCCATTATGGCAGGGGCAGAGGCCGCAGAGCTAGTGTATTGCCTTGTGGGAGGGGGGGTTGAGTATTAGTAGTACTAAAAACGTAGTACGGAGTATAAAAACACTGCCCCCATAGCCCTATGTTATTATGAAGGCTTATGAAGTCATGGTAGATTGGTAGAAGAAAATTTTGGCCTCCGATCTTAATTATCATGGATGTCACTTTAGTGTATAGTGCTGTCTTTTTTAGGCCAAAATAGATACATTATAAATGTAGGCCTTAATATATCTAAGTTGCAAATCGTATAGTGCTGATTCTTAAACTCATTAGAAGATTGGAAAATTAAAGCATATCAGGTATAGAAGATTAACCATATAACTTAATTATTTAAGATATACTATTATATTTACAATATCATATCCAGTATTCAACAATTCTGTAACATTAAAGACAATGTGGAGTTTAATCGATTTAGACATTTAATCAATTAATTAGTTATTAATTAATGTAATACATAATAACATGATCTAAATTTTGGTGATTTGTTATTAATTATAAGGAATTTATAAATTAAACTTTATTAAAGACTTTTGGTTTGTAAGATTGTGTTTTGTAGCAGATTTATGTAATGAGTTTTTATTTATTTGTCCTTCCATAATTATTCATTCTAGGTTACCTGATATTGCAAGAAAGACGTTGCCAAAAAATCATTTAGATTATATTAGTTTGTTCTTAATTTTTGGTAGTACATTATTCAAAGTCTGGCTTAATTTTAGATTAATAATTTAGATTATTCATTTTTGGTAGTGCACTATTTTCATGCATGAAAGTATGTTCTTAATTTTAGTTTGTATACTATTTTATATTGTAGTTTTGAATGTTATATATTATGAATTTTATTGCTCCGTATATCATTTTTTTGTTACTATAACATTTTTGTAGTTTATATTTTATTATTGTATTATGTTCTGGGCTTCTGGCCCCCCATATATCAAAGTCTGGCTCCGCCCTTGCATTACGGTCTTACTGTTCTGGATTATATTCTATCTCAGGTTCTGGGAAAACAACATCTTGTACCAAGTATGCCTACTACCACCAGAGGAAGGGCTGGAAACCGGCTTTAGTTTGTGCAGATACATTCAGAGCAGGTGCTTTTGATCAACTAAAGCAAAATGCAACAAAAGCTAAAATACCTTTCTATGGGAGCTACACAGAGTCTGACCCTGTAAAAATAGCAGAGGAAGGTGTTGAAACATTCAAGAATGAAAATTGTGATCTCATAATTGTTGACACCAGTGGGCGCCACAAACAAGAAGCTGCTCTCTTTGAAGAGATGCGTCAAGTCTATGAAGCAACTAAACCAGATCTTGTGGTATTTGTTATGGATAGCAGTATTGGTCAGGCTGCTTTTGATCAAGCTCAAGCGTTCAAGCAAAGTGTTGCAGTTGGGGCTGTAATAATCACTAAAATGGATGGTCATGCCAAGGGAGGTGGCGCCCTTAGCGCAGTTGCTGCTACAAAAAGCCCTGTGATCTTTATTGGTACCGGAGAACACATGGACGAGTTTGAAGTTTTTGATGCCAAGCCATTTGTCAGCCAACTTCTGGGGAAGGGTGATTGGTCTGGGCTCATGGACAAAATGAACGAGATTGTTCCTATGGATCAACAAGCTGAACTTCTTCAGAAGCTCTCTGGGGGAAACTTTACCTTGAGGACTTTATATGAACAATTCCAAATTACACTTAAAATGGGTCCTATAGGATTTCCTCAAAAAATTTTGCCAAAAGAGGGGGAAAAGGAAAGCCAGTCGAAAATCAAAACTTATATGACAATGATGGATTCGATGACCAATGAAGAAATGGACAGTACGAACCCAAAGATAATGACGGAATCACGCATAATGCGGATAGCAAGGGGGTCGGGTCGTATGGTGCACGAAGTGATGGAATTGATGGAATGGTACAAGAAAATGGCGATGGCATGGAAGAGCCAGAAGAAAAGACTTAAGGTTCCAAAGAAGGGAGATATGAGGGCCCTTTCACGAAACATGATGGGCTGCTTGCAGAACTTGATGAAGCAAATGGGTTTTGCCGATATGATGGGTATGTTTAGCAGTGGCGGGGATTAAAAAAGCCAAGTTTAGGATCGATAATGATGATATATATACATGTAGTCTCGCCTCTAGTTTCTACTACTTTACTCCAGACCAAGACTGTAATGAGCACAAGATTTTTCTTTACATTATATATTTATATATATTTTACCCACATCAGACCATTCTGGTTTGCATTTTAAAGAAGGCTAAAACATCGGAACCGAGCCTGGGTGGCAAGTCTGGAACATAGAGGGTCCAGTCGTCCACCCCTAATATGAATGCTTTGAAAACATAACAATCTGGTAATATAATTCATACAAATGAATAAGGGGCATGTTTGAACAGAATTCTATTTACGCAATGTCATCTCTCACTCGATATGCATCTGCAATCTTTTACTAACACCTTCGCGTGGTATTCTGCTATTCGCTTCCTATGTATGGTATTGTATCTTTGACATCTTTGTTCACCCATACTATTTAACCCAGGAGAGAAATTCATTACATGTACATTACCAGCTATTTTAGGATGATTTTGTCAATAAAAAAGAACGTCTAGGTTGGTGCTAATCTGTCATTTGAAGCAGGGGCCGAAAGGTAAAATCCTTGGTTGTTCTAATTTGTCATTTGAAGAATCTCTTGACATGCTCCAGAGACCAGAGTCAAGAACATGACTGCATTCCATAATCCTAGTCGATTCGAATTGGGAAGGAACCCCTTATACATAGCGAAAGGCCCCTTGAAGTTTTGTATAAGCAATCGATAGTGCTTTTGTAAATTTACTCATCTTTCTAGATTTAACCACAGCAACAGGGGAGCCAACACAGACTGCAAAAATCCCTGCACCATAACCAGCTCTTTGACATGATCATAGCTCGCTAGCTCAGCAGCATTTATGATTGTATTTTTGTGCAACATTTGGCACAAGCGCTGTCCACAAAGCTGCAAATAATCCTTCCTATGATATAGTGGCAGTCATATTAAGCCAGCTCTAATAATGGGTCCTACAGAATTGTCTGTATACAGACAACTCTATCTAAGACAAGTGTGTGAAAGGTGTACACAAAAAACGTGCACACCAAGCCCGGCTCTAGTAATATTCATAAAAAGACCTTCATTTTTTAAACTCAAAATCAAACCGGGAAATTAACTTTGACTCCCTGAAAATCTGAAATGGAATCGGAAAAAACCAAATAGACCCTACATACAATACATTTTTACTCTGTTAATGCACTACTTGAAGGCGTAGAAATATTCGTTACACACCCTTTATGGGGTTGCTTAGAATATGACTATAACAAAGCTAAGAGCCTAAGAACTATGTTGATTCACACTCGTGACCCATGGCTACATATAACACATCCCGATTTTGGATACAAATTTTACAAAATAGTTTGGACATAACAATATTGCAATACAATTAAGTAATCTCATCCTTCCAGTTATGTCTGGCCAGTGATGAGACCCTCAAGGATGGGGTGTCATCCTTTTAAATAATTAATCAGTCATTTACCACTCGGCCGGCAGGCGAAGATCAAATCAAGCCAGGACTTTTGTCTAGTTCAGCCGTGGTTTATGGCCATGGCTGGCTTTACTGCCGCCGTGGCCAGAGCCCTGCTTTCTGGGCGCCTCCTCACAAGGTGTTTTGAATCCGATATTCTCCACCGCTCCAACGGTCTTAAACATTCGCCTCTTGTTGACCTCCTCCATCAATGACCGGTGCAGCAACTGGCTTCGCATGTCGACGAGCGACCGGTTCCGCGTCAACCTCCGCTTGTCTTTCTTCGCTTCGGCCATCTCGTTGCATTGTTTATGGGGGTTGGAGCTTTCTCCAGGGCAAAATCGGGTTTGGCTCTGATGAGTTACGATAGCAGAAGCAATGTTGTTGGCTTCCTGCTGCTGGCTCCATCTTCTTGGGCTCAAACTTTGATTGCTCTCCTCTCCTGACTGGTAATTCAGGTTTGAATAGTTTCCTGAGTGTGATGAGCTCTGCGACGTCGTTTCGTCATACATTTCATCTACAATATTCATCATTATTACCAATAATATAGCAATAAGAATAAGAAGGGGAATTTTGACTTTGCACCCCATTTTCAAACCACATTTTCAAACAATAAGCATAAAAGGGCATGTACCTCTAAACCATAGGTGGTGGCTTTTCCCTTCCAGCTCTTGAGAAATGATCAAACCTGAAACTGAACCTTGGGATGAAGCACTAGATGATACTGACCAGAACGGATGGTGGTAATCGTTGTCATCGTCCTTGTAATTGAGCACATTGTGATGATCAGCAGGTTCAAATTGATTCCATTTCCTCCACTGAGGCACTAAGCCTGTAATCTCTCCATCAATCATATTTGCAATTTCAGACGGCTTCCAATCCGTAAACTCTAATTCCTTCACCATCTCGTTTGCAACTTCGGTTGGTGTGTCGCTTAAAATGTCAAATGGAAAATAAACATTTCTAACCCCCCCTGGAATGTCACAACATCAGAATTTCAGAACCAAAGGGGAGAAGCTCAACTCATAAGACTGTGTTTGGAACATGGAAAATGGTATGGAAAGGGTGAAAAAGTGCAAACAATTGTGTTTTCTTTTTTTTCCTCTTCATTTTCTTCCCCTAGCATTTCCCAAAATGGACCCTGAAGCAAACATGTCCTGGGGTTTTACTATAGTATTAATACATAGTAGTATAAAATAGATAGACAAAAATATAACTACAATTACTGCAAAAGTAGTATTATGGAAGATGCAGTATAAAAAGTGAACATTAGTGAGGTCAATGAATATTAAAAGTCAAAGTTGTGTCCATCTTTTTATTTAAGCCATATGTTTGTCATTTTTTAATATATACTATCGTATATACCTTGTTTGTCAACAATCTGCACCTTAAGAATGATGGTATCATCTTCAGGATTCAACTTCCCTGTGATAGTCATGCTGGTTGATGGCACGTCATCATTCAAATCCAGCTCCTCTATTCCAATTGTGTCATTCAGAAAAGGCTTTTGACAGGCAGCCATTGTCATTGGCATTCCTTTGAAATCATCTGAGGCAAGAAATGGGTCGAGAATCAGTTCCTTAGCTGATAATCTCTTCGAAACAGGTTCCAAACACTTCGCAATGAACTGCTGTGCTTCTAAGTCTTCAACCTTGTAAAACGCCCTTGGCTTTTTACCCTGTGAGTGGATGCCAAATGTTACCTTTACAAGTTTATGATGGACTTGGCACAATTTTTGCACCAAGTTAAATGAACTTGACTCAAAATATGTGTTACCGATGTCACTTTCTTGTAAATTTGAGCAGGATTGTCGCACTCGCTGTATGGATACTCGCCTGTGAGCATCTCCAAAATACACAAGCCGAAAGAGTATACATCCACAAGCTCATTGTAATTCTCCTCGTATAGCTCTGGTGCCATGAACTCTGGTGTTCCTATAACCGCACATGCAAAATCTAATATAGTATATCCATCTATAATTCTATATATACTGATGAAAAAGATATGTTGAGAACTTGAGATATAATTACTTACTCTCATTGTATTTAAATGGTCCATTTACTTCCTTTTAAATAAGTCTGAATCACACAATTTCTACTAGCTCATATCACTCATGATGTAGTTTAAACAGATAGTTGACAAGACATTTAGTAGCCAAATGGTAAGACTAAAATTGGTTTACTTGTCTTAAATTGCTAAAGTTGTATGTAGTTAAATTGGTTCAAAAAAGTACCTAAACCTTATTTATTTTCATTATTAGCCAATTTAACTGTGTAAAGTAGTAAAATTAATGATCTGGTATAAAAAATTATTGATAAGACTAAAACCAAGTTTATCAAAAGGTGAAACGAGCACTTATTATTTACAGCCGAGCATCAACATTTAATAAACTCTCAATTTGGTTGGGCACTGAGCATCAACATTTCCCCTCATCAGCATAAACTCTCAAGACTTCCATCCAAACAGGAGATTATGAACAATGTGCTGACAATTAAAATAAGAAGTAGTTTTAAGTACCTATAACGCTATGTGCCGTGGGGGACCCATGAAGGATTGCTGCAAGGCCAAGGTCACCAATCTTGACTTGTCCTAGGTGGCCATTGACAAAAATATTGTCACACTTGAGGTCTCTGTGGATCACCGGAGGGTCATGGCCGTGCAAGAAAACAAGGCCTCTCAGAATTTGGCGTGCCCATATCTTTATGGCTCCTATCCCTACTTGCTTATACTTCTTCCTGTATCTGCAACCCCATCATAAGACACATCTTTATGCCTCTCGATGATCTTATGATCCAACCGCGTATGCAAATCATCGGTTAAATCAGCTAAAAGGGGAGGCAAAAGGCAATCAAAACATCCATTCAGCCATTACCAATAATAAAGATTAGGAATTTTCAGTCTTGATTGCAAGATTTTATAGCATATAGCTCTTTAATTAATTACCCATTTCATCAAATGTTCAATAGTTTGTCTCATGTAGCCTAAATCTAAAACAACAAACGAACGCATAAAATATTTGACTACTCCTATTGGGTCAACCTTAAATTTGAAATTATAAAATGAACCAAAAGAAACAGACTGTCATAGAATCCCACGTTACAGATCTAAACAGATGGTGGGAAGATTTAGTTATTTACCCTCGCAGGGAACCGGAAGTGAACATCTCAGTGATGAAATTGAAGGTCTTGTTTGGAACATCAATCCAAGAAGTATAGAACTTGATGATGGAATCATGGTTGAGAGTGCTCAAAAGATGGACCTCAGAGTAAAGCCTCTGCAAATCATTAGGTGAATGAAGCAAATCATTGAGCTTGATTTGGCTCCAACCCACTTCCATCCCAACCACCATATCTATTGCCTTGTACACCTTTTTCATTGCCCCTCTTCCTAACAGTTCATCCAACTGCCAATCCAACCAACCAAATCCAAACAAACATCTCAGTTAGGCATCTCAAATCAGCAAAATTCAAAGATACAAACTCACAAACAATTGTTAGAGCTACTCCTCATCTCCTCTTATTATGTTCATATTTCTGATTACTTTTTAGGATGGAACTTTAAGTCTTAAGATATATGTATGTATATATATGCATATAATGAATAAACACACAAAGTAAAGAAAGAAAAAAGAGACAAAAGCTAAGTAAATCACTTACACGAGCATAACGGCCAGTGGGATCATACTCGACATATGATCCAAGGGCATCAAGAGAGTCCTCTGCTAATGGTTCTTTGTACATGGTGGGGAAAAAATTATCTATTTATGTATATAAAATACACCCACACTATTTCAACATATATATTTGTTTTGTACGAAGTATGATTTTCTACTGGGTATGAAAAGAAACAGAAAGCTCTTTGTATTTGTGATTATATAATAATATAGTATAGGCTTTATGCTGCTTTTTTCCTGCCTGGTGGTCAAGGAAGAAGACACAAAATTTCTTCTTGAATTGCTACCACTGCTGGTGGAACGTAATTATTGTAATCACTTCTGCCTTTTGATTTGACTGAAAGAGAAAATGAAGAAAAACGAGCCAAGAACGCAGTTCGTTGAGTTAGTCTTGTATTTGACAGAGAAGGAATATTAATGTAATAATTAATGGAACCAATGATTTGAAATGTGGGGTTTGCATATAATCCGCGTATATATATGTGTATATATATACAAACAAAATTAGGGAGTTCTTTTGAGAAGGTGAAATTGGTAGGACAGAAATCATGTTGGGAAGTATTTTGGACTTGTAAGGTAATGGATATGCCGCGGATAGAGCCTTCCTTGTATTGGACGAGGATCTTATTTCATATCAAACTTTGGGATTTTTTTATTCTTAATAATGTTCCAAATTGACTTTGGACCTTGGTTAAGGAGTTTTTTCCAACAATAATGTAAAATAAAAAAATATTTCCCAATATAGGGTTTGGTTAAAAATATTTCCCAAAATACTGTTGCCCTAAACTCTAGTTAAAAGAACCCCACTTCAAGTGGCGGCTTATATGAAAATAGGTACCGCATGTAGAGGCAAGCCAAAGCAACTAACGTATGTACTACCATCAGATAGGGCCCACAAAAATAAAAAATCCCATTTCTATTTAGAAGTTATATAACTTCTTTATTTTTACTCAGATAATTACAAAAAATACACCAAAATTCATAACTTTTTATTATCTTTCATATGACACCAATATGGAATATATAAAAAATTTTAAAAAATTAACACTTTAAAAATACTACATATAAATAATTACATTTATTTAAAATTACATTTTTTGTAAATGTAATTATATTAAAATCGCTTTTAATATAATTACATCTTTCTAAGAAATAATTACATTTTTATGAAAACCCCCCTTTTTAAATGTTACATCTTTTTTATGTGTAGTAAATATATCAAAATTCATAAATATTTATTATCTTTCATATGACACCAATTTTGAATATACAAATTTAAATATTTATGCAATTTAGGATAAATTTTAATTCACAAATAATGAGTAGTGATAGATTAGAATAAGGATGATTTCTTTTGGACTATAATTTTATAATTTGTTGGTCTGGTCTGATCTGTTTAAGTTCGATTTGGTAAATATCTAGCTCGCCTTTGTGTTTTTCTAATTGTTCAAGTTCGATCTAGTCTGTTCTGTTTAACTCTAGTTTGGTCTGATCTGGTCAGTTTAAATTTGGTCTGGTCTGAACTGGTCTAGTCTAATCCAGTATGGGACTGAAAAAAGTCCAAAAAAAAACATCCTAAAACTAAACAAGGAATAAAATGATAATAAAAGTGATGGAGTTTATATAGTTTTATTATAAACTATCACTCTAAATAAGATGTGTGTATTGTAAAAAACGATTCCAAACTGCACAAATTAATAAAATTGATTTTTAATTTTTAAATATTCAAAATTAGTGTCTCATGAAAGATAACAAAGAGTTATGAGTTTTAATATATTTTTCTAACAATCGGTGTATAAAAAAGATATAACATTTACAAAAAAAATTAAAATGTTAAATTATGTTTTTTATTTTTATATATTCGATATTGGTGTCATATGAAAGATAATAAAAAGTTATGAATTTTGATGTATTTTTTGTAATGATCAGAGTACAAATAAAAAAGTTATATTGTTTTAAATTAAAAATGGGATTTTTATTTTTGTGGGGCCTATGTCATATTGCTACGTGCGTCACTCACTACCTTTAGGCTTCAGCATGCTTAAGTCGTTTTCTCATATAAGCCGCCACTTGAAGTGGCGGTTCTTTTAACAGGAGTTTAGGGGAGCAGTATTTTGGGAAATATTTTTAACCAAACCCTATTTTGGGAATTTTTTTTTATTTTACATTATTGTTGGAAAAAACTCTTGGTTAAGAGTATGTTGAATGCAATGATGTATTGATGTACAATACACGTGCCATGTAGGCAATAGATATGTAAAATTAAACTATACAATTATACAAACTATACACTTCTTCATATTCTAATAACAATGTCAACCATAAGGTATTCATTCAAAAAGAAATAGATGCTATAACTTTGCTTTTTGCTTCAAATCGCCAACTCCATTGAAAGTTTTATTAGTTTTGAAAAGAATCTTTATGATTTTTTATGCTAAATTAAGAATTCATGTTTAGGAATTTTCCCAAGATAGGAGTAAAAAAATTGCAATGTAAGAGTGTGTTATTTCCTCCCTAAATAGGAGTAAGTTATCATCTTTCAAAAAAAATATGTAGTATTATCTTTTGGCATTATTAAACATTAATTTTACAGTATTACTGTAATAATTGTTAGTTTTTTTCAAGCATATCAGTAATTATTCCTATTAATGACAAATATATTACTTCTATTTTGAAATATCGCATTATTTTTCTCTCTCTTATTTAGGACAACTTTTGTTCATATTTGTGAAAATCAAGTTATTGTATTTAGAGAAAAAGGTGAAATAACCTCTTCTACTAATGCGAGATCATCACCTATAATAAGCCTTTTTATATGAGCCTTTTACTTGATAAAATATCACTTACTCTCTTTACAATTAATCAACATGTAAATGTTTAAGAGAGCAACATGTAATACACTAATACTCATACGGAGTAGTAAGTGAATGTTTTATTTTGTTTATTCTTCTTTCTTCTCCATTACCCAATTACCGTTTCAAAGTAGACTTTAGTCTGTAGTTTATTTTTCTTTTCTTTTTTTCTTTTTCTTCGTTCTCTCTTTCATTTGTGTTTGCATTTCCCTAGAATAATTTATGCTCTTAACATTTTTCTCTTTTTCGTTCATCTTCTCGTTTATTCGTTTGCTTTGTTTTGTTATTATTCTTCCTTCGGAATATTAAATTTTTAGGACACACAGAATGATTGAGCCCTTTGAGGCAAAGCCGAAAACTATATAATTTTATGCACATTTTCAAAATCCTTCGAATCAAATGTTTTCTCTATAAAGTTAGGTCACATACAAAAAGTAAATCAGAAAAAATCAATTTACTAATAATAAATGTATATCACATGCATAAAATGTTTTCAAACATCAACAAAAATTGTATTTTTTTATACACATTTTATTGACAGACATACACTACAAAAAATTTGTTGATTAGTAACCAAGTTTGTCACTCATAATAAAATAAATTGAGTGACAAAATAGATTACTCACCTCCATAGTCACTAAATGTGTGTGGTGCCTTATTGCTGGTGCCAAATACATTGGCACCACATTTAGAAAGTGACTAATTAACTCACTCCCCCAACAAGTGAGAAAATAGGTGAGAAGTTTGTGAAGGCGTGCCAATGATGTAGTGCCGCGATCACATCTTTTGTCACTATGTATGAGAGTGAATAATTTAATTTGGGTGTCATTTTATTTTATAATAATTTAAAACTAGTAAATTCAAGTATCTATTGGTCAATACAATACAAAATTTAAATTTCAAAATTAGAAATTAAGTACTCACAACATATAACTTCAATTAATACAGATGTGCGAATTTAAATCTATTACGTAGTGGAGTACTATAAAATTAAATAGTTAACATTTGAAATAGAGTAACTCAAAGGCACAAATACTGCACAAAAGTGATAGATTCATAAGACAAAGTGATACAAAGATTGTGATACACAGTGATAATTCAGACGGAAAAAATTGACATGATGACCAATTCATTTGCTAATTAACATTGTGATCTTCTTCTTCTTCAATGGCTGCTCGGAGCCTCAAACAACAGTTTGAATTGCACATCTACTAACTTTTGAATGAACTTGTAAGAATAGATTTGATGATTTCCGGTAGCTGATGTTGTGTTCAGATCGAATGCATGTATAGTACACGATTCGTATGATAGGAATAAGTGCACATATTTAGTAATTTAGAAGTGGAGGAGGATCGAGCATCAACTCCGATCCGTCTTCATAGATACCGTTGTTCTTGACTTTACAAAAGTGATTCCTCAATTCACAAGTAACTTGATATTTCTGAAACATTGAAACAAGAGGTGAAATCTCCTAATGTTTAATATATAAACAAAAAGTACAATGTAGAAGAAACATTTTATAGTTATAATTATTCTCGTAAATTCAATTAAAGCATACCCGTATACTTTCTATGGAATTGCATTGTCATATCTTCCATGCTTTTGGCTCTAACTCACCCTAGTATAGAAGCAATGGTGTGTGCCTCAATCTCCTGAGTAAGATGAATCAAAGTTGCTAAAAATGTACTACGTAATTAAGAATAATGAGGGGAGCAAGGCAATATCAAGCTAACCTTAATGCAAATAATTAAGGTAATTATTTGCATTAATTATGCCGCATGCTCGAAAGAAGAAAATGATAGACGATGAAGACTGGGCATGGTTTACAAATTTATCATAACTTGATAGTGTTTTGAACTTGGCCCGCGTGGGCTACGTGGGTAAGTGGAGCTGTGGAGGTAGTTTTGGAAACAAGAGAATAAAAGGAGGAAGTTATAAAAAATTAAAAGAATTGAAGCAACACGAAATTAAAGGAAACACTCAGGATGTTTTTACTTGGACTGTAATTTTCCCCAGACCAGACCAGACCAGACCAGTCCAGACCAGACCAGACCAGTTCAGACCAGACCAGACCAGACCAGACTTGGATAGTTATAAAAATACAAAGAAACCAGACCTTACCAGACCAGACCAGACCAGTTCAGACCAGACCAGACCAGATCAGACCAGACCAGACCAGACCAGCAAATTACAGTCCAAGTAAAAACATCCTCAGTACGTTATTCGACGGATATGGTAATATGGGTTCAGTTTTTTCAGCCCTTTGTCACCAAGTATTTATTTAAAGTGATAAAAGTGGTGAGAAACGCTTTGTATTTACTCACTGGTTCTATAGGTGAGAAAGGTGGTGAAAGTACTCACATAAGTTACAAGTGACTAACTTAAGTGCCTAAAGGAACGATTTTTTGTAGTGATATTTCATTTGTGAGTACAAAGGTTTTGAAATGTTTTTAAAAATCATACAATTTGTTGGCCCTTGTTCGGAACTTTTTTTGTTTGTGACATACAATTATTGTTTATAAAATTTGCTTTATTTTCATGCTACTTTTTGTTTGTGACCTAACTTTATAGAAAAATTACCGGTGTGAATAATTTTGAAAATATGTACAAAAATTATCCCTTCATCTGATAAAATTTGGCCAAATTGATCGACTTTTCTTGGTCAACGATAATAAACTTTAAATAATGGTTGTAGTTATTATATTTGTGAGAAATTTATAATTTTTGTACTTTTATGAAAGTATTTTTAACAAAAAATGTCACCTTATAAATTTCATGTTTTGAATAATTTCATTTTAAAATATATAATTGGCCAAACATGGTCATCATTGACCAAGAAAGCCAATATGACCAAGTTCAATACGGAGTAGGACGGAGGGAGTACAATTTCCTGGCCCTATATAATACTACGTATATTTTTTTGTGTGGCAAACAGTTATTGTTCGTATTTTTTTACCCACATATTTTTTTTGTTGCTTAATTTTGCAGAACAAAATGTTCTTGCAAAGAATTTTCAAAATGTGAACAAAAAGTATACAATTTTTTACTGCATTGAAACATTTATTATGCGTTTCAGACATTCGTTGTTTGTAAAATTGGATTTTTCTGACCGATGTTTTTTGAAAATTTGCCCAAAAATTGTATACATTTTTTAACGTGTATAAAATTACAACCTTAATTGTTCTAAGGGGGGAAATTATGTTAATTTGATTTGAATGATGAAACCCATATTTATATACAATAAAATAACCAATAATTGAGGGTGACATTTATAAAATTGAATAAACGGGAACTACATTTTTGTATGAATAATAATTTAGAAAGTAAAGTGTACTTTACGCATTAGTGAAATAAAGTGAAAGAAAGGGTAAGAAGCATTTACCGGCGAAGGCAATAAATGTAAAAAGGTAATACGGGAAAAACAGAAAATACAAAATGAAAAGAGGGAGGCAATAAATTAAGAGGATTCGAAAGAGATGTTGTGTAGAGAGAATGACTAGGAGTGAGGAACAAGCAGAAATGGAAAAATGAGGAAAAAAGTACTCCCTCCGTTCTTTATTATCTGTCTCGCATTCCATTTTGGGACGTTTTTTATTATTTGTCTCTCTTTCTATTTTAGAAAAGTTTTTAATAAAATACCCCCACTTTTTTTACTTTTACCTCTCTTACTTTTTACAAACTACATTCTCTTTCCTACTTTATCATAACCTTACTCTACTTAATATACTATCTTTCCTACTTTATCATCACTTTATCACCACTTTACTCTTTTTAATATACTCTCTTTCCTACTTTATCATTTACCCTACACACTCTACTGATGGATAGTCTACCCGGGGGGTATCTTATCCGAGGGGTTATTGCAGGAATAACTTAGAGAGAAGTCAGAGTAAATAGGAGGAGAGAGAGCCGATTTTATTAAATGAACTCAGCGTGTGCAGTTGGGATTTGGATCGTTTACAAGGAGAAATGGGCTGCTATTTATAGTAGCAATAAATGCGATGAGAGTACACGTGTCAGTAATCCAACGGCCGAGGGGTCACATCACTCGGGTGGCACCGGCAGTGGCATGTTCACCGCATTGAATGCGGTTGGCGGATGTGACGCGGCATTAAATGCGGTGGTTGGTTGTCTCCAAAAGGAATCTTCGATGATTGAGCAGTTGGTCGAAGGCTCCTTGTGTAGCCGAGGGCTCCGTGTGACTGAGGCCCCCTGTGTAGCCGAAGGCCCCGTGTGACCGAAGGCTAGGTTCAGCCGAAGGCTTCCCTGATGCCGAGGGCTCGGTAATGCCGAAGGCTCATGTTTTTCGATGTTTTCTCCCAGTAGCTTCTTATGCCGGAGAAAGCTATCCCGTGAGTTTCGGAGCCTTCGGCCAAGGAGGCCGAAGGCACCCCAGTGTGTATCCTGGGCTACTTTGAGGCTTGGGCCGTTGCATTTGGGCCTGAGTTGTTCTCTGGGCTCAACGGATTTGTGCAGGAGAAGTAGGAGTCTATGGGCCGGGGGTTCCTGGGCCATATACTCCATCATCTACATTTACCCAACTATTTTTCTATTAAAACCCGTGCCCAAGGCTAGCGGGACAGATAATAAAGAACGGAGGGAGTAAAATGAAAAAAAAAAAAAGCTTAACTAGAAGAGGTGCAATCGTGAAACAAGAGAAAAAGAAGATGAAAGAGGGAAAAAGGTGAAACAAATTATGTTGACCCGCTATCATAGCTTGCTTCGAGTTCATTGGACCCACTTGATTGTTTACTAATAGTACATGTATTTGGGTAATCGTTTTTTTAAATATATGGTTTTATGTGATGATTTTACAATCTCACAAAAGTTTTTCTTGACCCTTTTTCCTTACATGTATTTATGGTAAAAGTATTTTACCATAAAATACATGAAGGACACATTTATTTAAAAATACAAACGAGTCATGTTATGTGTAAACGTGTGAGATTTGTTTATTATAGCGAATTGAGACCTCTTAAAATAAGAAAGAATAGAAAACACTATTCCAAGGAAGCAGTCCAGCCCAGCTGGCCGCCGACTCACTCTATCTTACGGGAGGTCTCAGGTTCGAAACTCAATTGAGTGAGTTTCAGTCCTGATTACTCCACCCCCCAACCCCCAAACGCTCCCTGGAGTAAAAAAAAAATAAAACATTAATAATAACAACAACAACAACAGCAACAGCAACAATAATTCAGTGAAATAAGAAATTTGAAACTTCGGTGACTTTGGAGGGAAAGTTAGAAAAATTAGTTTTAGTGGATGAATTTTCTCCTAAAATCTTTTGTATAAATGAAGTGACTACTGAGTATTTACCATTATTCTTGAAGTCAAACAGGTAACATTGTAGCATGTTTACAAAGGACAAATTTGGGAAATGAACAAAAAATGTTACTTGTACATTTACACACCAATTATATTTTATTTGTGACAAACAATTAATTTTTCATTTTAGTGAAAAGAACTGTTTGTGAACTTGAAAAAGTGAATTATTTGTGTAACGATAATTAAAGATCAGGAAAACAGTTGCTTTCACTAGAATGAAAGTCAATCATCTGTGCACTAATAAAATACACTTGAGTTGTAAATCGGCGACCGGCGTGTACAAGGAGCATTTTTGAAAGAAAAAAAATGACATTTCCGAATGTACGTTTAAGTTTTTTTTTTACTTTTAAGGAAAATGTGCGTTTCAGTTAAGTTATGCACTTGTCTGGAAAATGGGGGAATCGTACTTTTTTTTTTTCAGAAAAGGTTTAGACGATGACTTGGAATTCATTAAAGTGACTTTTGTATTAAATATGTTAAGAATTTTAAAAAAATGGTGTTGATGATTCTAAAGACACGACTTTAGTAGACAATTCCAAAGACTCGTGACTTATATCAAACTTCGTATGTGGCATACAATTATTAGATAGTGAAATTGTGAAAACTTAAATAAATTTGATCTTTGCATATGGAAAAGTATATTTAAACCTGATATTTCTGAAATAGATATGATTTTGTAAGGTCCAATGTTACATATATTTTTTCACTATTTAAGTGTGGTCTGTTTTGTTTAGATGTTGTAAGATTTTCAAATATGATGGAGAAAAATAGTGAAAAGGAGATAGTATATTTTGGTTTTTTTTATGGTGAGAGACTTTGAAAAGAAATCAAACTTTTTGTTTACCTTTTAGATAATCTCACTAGCCAATTTGAAGTAACTTTGAAAAGTAGAGTACATAATATGCTGTTTCTTTACCCACAAATCTAACTAAGGATTTTGACTCCCATTAGAATGCATTGAGTTGTAGATGGGCCAACCATTGTAAATTGTAACAAGCTGTCCAGAATGCCCAATATGATCACACTATTGACCTTAACACATACCAAATTGTACAGAATGTCCACTTTTATAAAGGTTTGAATATAATTCAACTTTTTTCCTTCAATTCAACCAAAATAATCATTCGGATATTGCCACGTATTATGGAATGGAATAATGGTACTCCGTATACGTTTAGATTTTTTGTTGTTGCATACCCATGAGTATGATATTTCATATGCATGAACAGTGGGAATTGAAGACGTGTGACATGTAACCTCTATTTTTTTCTCCATTGAAGATAGAGACCACAAACTCTCCTTTTCACTTTATCGCCCAATCCATGGGCTTAAATTGACATCGTCATGAGTCATCCATGGCATCTTGTGCATACAATTCAAAACGGTAGGGTTATCAATTTGTCATTCAAGATCGGAGAAAGTTCAAACACGCAGACTTTAGGGGGTCTGGGAAGGGGCTGGAGTAATCAAGGCTGAAATTCAATCCATTGAGTTTCGAACCATTATGTGCCTAGCGAGTTTCGAACCCGAGACCTCCCACTAAGCACGATAACCTCACAACCAACTGGGCTGGAATGCTCGATCCATTGAGTTTCAAACCAAGTCACATTAAACTTAATTGAGGCAAAACTGTAACAAATTGAATAGATCCAAACTAAAAATTCAATAAAACCTTAACACTCGCTCCATCACTTTTTAGTTAATCATCTTTGACTTTTTCAATCAAAGATGCTAGACTTTGACCAATAACATATTTATATGTGAAACTTTTTATAATATGAAAATAATATTAAAATATTTGAAAAATGACCTATATATTACTAATAGAGTTTGCTCGAACAAAAATATGACTCGTCACTATGTATTAGTCATTATATTTAGAATAACAAGTCATTGTAGATGACGAGTCACTGTGAACTAGTCACTAAATATGTCACTTTTTGGAAAATTTTAAAATAAGACATATTTTTGTCTTTTGAATATAATGTAGTAATATTCATGAAAGGACTAAAATATTCTTGATCAAAAGTACTCGGTAGAACTTTTTTTAAACTAAGAAATCTAAATCAAATCAATCAGGAATATAGTACGTACTACGTAGTATGATTTTTCTTTTATAATCATTATTCCAATTCATTTCAAATCAAATAAAATACTGATCAAACTGATATACCCCTACGTTCAAGGTTAAGCTTGAGCAGTTTCTTCAAATAAGGGCTGGAGGGGCTTCAAAGCTCGACGTGGGATTCATGATTATGATATACACCCGATTTATTTGGCACGTAAGTTTTGACATTTCTAAGATCATGTGATTTAAATTTATTTATGGAAAAGAGATGACATGAAGCATTGAAGCATATATATAATTATTTTCTTTAAAAGGAAATGAGAGATAAAATTACATCGTTCCTCGCAGTGCTATCAACTACAAAGTAAAAAGGAGATTTGATTATGCACGGCCATGGATCAAGGATGGCTGTAGTGAATTTATCCAACAAGTCAACCATGAACAAGCCTCTCCAGACGTACGCCACTATTCAAATTGTTTCAAATTAGGAAGAGAAATTAAATGGAAAGATATAATTCATCGAGGGTATTTAGATTAAATGGAGAATTAATATATTATACAATTGAAATTTATATTTTTTTTGAAAGGAAAAACCGCCACTTGCATTACTCAATAATATCATTCGTCAGGCCGGGGGCATGCAATAAAAGCTGGAGGTGTACTGAAGACATTCATGCAATCAACTATACTTACTATAGAAAAACTTACCCTAGCAATCAATTGATCGAACAACTCGATTAACTGATCAATTACAATGGTTAATAATTATATGATCCAATAAATGTCTAATATCATCCAAAACTAAATCAAAGTGGGATAACCTCGCTTCAATTTTTATACTTCCGTATATGATAATGGAGAAAATGGAGGATTTAGATTTTCCATTAAATGAAGAATTTAGATTTGCAAAACTAAGGTAGCATAACAAAATTAAATAAATAAGTATTAGTCATATTTTTGTCATTAAGTTTTATTTCAACTATATTTTTGAAAAAAGCTCATTGTGACGGAGGTAATGGTGTATTGTGTGTGTATATATATATATATATATATATATATATATATATATATATATATATAAATAAAACTTCATGTTAGCCGACCCCAATATCTTTTGGGACTAAGACTTAGATGTTGTTGTTTTATATATATAAATAAAACGAATACTTTGACATTGTAGTGAACCAGACTAGAACCGATTAGGTAGTCTGGAATTGGACCAGGAACCAAACCTGGTATCCACACTTCCAGTCCACTTCCAAGTGCATCAAGTGATCAAACAAACACCTTGCTAGCTTGTTTTTTACTGCAATGATTTTTTTGGGCGTTTTAATGACAAAGTTCTGGTTTTACTCTTTTCTCAAAAAAGTCATAGAGGAGGCTTATATTGCTACCTACACATATGTCTACATTAAGCCAGTCACTTTTTGAGCTATAGTTTGTAAGCATTCACTACCTTTCAATCTTTCTCATCCTTTCACACTTTCACGTCAAACTCTCATTTGTCTCTGAATCTTTCACATTAAAAGAAGAAGGAAACACATAATTCTTCATGAGTATTGATCTGCAAACCTGGAGTGAGAGAACAATAAGATGGGGTGAAGTAATGGCATTGCATGACCACTTTTGGTCTCAATCATTTTTCAGGAACATATATTCCCTTAAATTACATGTCACTATATCAAAGAACAAATATTCTCAAACTTTTCATCATCATCATTACCCCAGTGCCGCAAAGGCTCCCACCTATGGTGGGGTAAGGGGGGGTCGGATGTACGCAGCCTTACCCCTGTATTAAAAGTACAGAGAGACTGTTTCCGGATGACCCAGGGTGAAAATCGCATCGAAAACTGCATGGACTGACTGCTGCTTCATAACAAAGAAGCGCAGACAGTTTAGCGAGCCATTTTGCTTTATTCCATCATATTTCTTAGCCAAAAAATAGTAAATCATTGGCTCCATTGTAAATGATGGAAAAATTCTCAAACTTTTATGTGAAATAATTACAAATTTAGAACAAATATAAATTTGACCTATATATTAGAAAAATACATACTATTTTCAGCTAATTGTAAATTTGGAGGAAAAAAATTGAGCTACATATTCAAAATTAAAGTACAGTCTTTATGTTGTCTGATGTACATAGCTAAAGAATATATATGTCCCAATTTTACGATTCTTGTGCTAATTACATTGTTCCAAAAAATAGTTGATTGGTATATACATATATGTTCCATGTTATAGTTTAAGGATATATTTGTTCTTATTCCTTTTCAGAATTTGGTAACCTGCCTGTTATTGTTTTCTACTTTTCTATCACTTTTAGTGCGACTAAGGATTTCTTGCCACTTTCAGCTCTTATCCAGCAAAGTATCAACCAAAATTTGAACATAAATTGGTGTGATAAGTGATCAAAATGACCAAAAGTGTTAAAATGTCCATAGTCATGCACCAAGAGTGAAAAAATGAAAATAAAGACCAAAAATGAAGATCGATGGACTAATGGTTGTGAGACTGGTTGTGGGACTGGAAGTGGAATATTTCCTTAACACGTTCAATGCACATCGATAGAATAACTTCATGCTTTTACGTACCTATTAGTTCCGCTTTGCACGGGACTTGCACAGTACAAGTTTTGAGAGAATCCAGAAGAACTAGGGAGGGAGTCACCATATGGCCTTAAAGATAGACCACCACATTCGGAAGGAAGGGATGGGAGTGGGGGTGCATATGAGAAGTAGCCATTATGAGAACCTGCAAGAGGATGGTAACGCGGGTGAAATGCAGACTTCCCACGCTCTTGTTGAGCCCAATAAGAAGATAATTGTGCAGAATGTGAAGCTTCTAGATGATGGCTGCTGCTAATGTTACTGCTTTGCACAGCAATCTCCTCCTCTAGCAATACAGGAACCCATCCTTTGCTAAGATTGTTTCTCGGAGGCTGACCATAACCAGCACCAAATTTCCTGATTTTCCCCTTTCCTTTTTGATAAGATGCTCTCTCCCTGAAAGGCTTAATCTTCAATAGTGTTTCTAAAGTTAGTCCCGTCACCAAATAATCAAGAAACAATCCCCCAAAACCCAAACCATATTTGGTTAGACCTTTATGCCACTCAATGTAGAGGGAAATCTTGCCTTATTAACAAGAAACATATATTGAGTAATTATTGTCATTGTTACCATTAATTTATGGGAAAATAACTTTAAATAATACAAATTATCTTCCATTAACCAAGAATAATACATACTTTGGAAATTATTTTTAATAATACCAATTATCTAAATATAGACCAAAAGTTATATAGAACAATTTTTCAATGAAAATTCAGTTATATAATTCATCAAAAACTAATATCAAAATATCAAGTAAGTTATCGTATTTCCAAAAATCATTTATTTGATAGTTTACTATTAGTTTTTAATGTTTTAAATGACTGGATTTTTTTTATGAAAAATGGCTCCATATTATTGGTTTATTGGTGATAGTTGGTACTCCCTCCGTCCCACTAAGATTGTCCCATTTTACCTTTTCAGGAAGTTCCACTAAGATTGTCTCATACCAAATTTGGTAAAGATTGTGTGGCTATAAACCATTCTTACTTTATCAATTTAATATCAACCACACAAACTTACTTTTCTTAATAATCGTGCCACCTTTTTCCGTCCCAATCTTAGTGGGACGGAGGTAGTATTATTTAAAATTATTTTCCCTTAATTTATTACTATTGACATTATTATTATTATTATAAGTAATTGCAATGCCAATAGTGAAAATGATAGTGGTGACAACAATATTGATGGTTTTACAGAAAATATCACTGACAAGAAACGATGGTTTTACAGAAAATATCACCATAATCAATGCAGGATAAAATTGAGCATAATCACTAAGAAAGTACCAATATAGTCACTGCGGATTAGATGTCAAATTTTTTCATTTTTTTATATTTTCCATATTTCTGTTGCACACTGTTTCAACAAAAAAAATAGGGAGTAATTATTCTAATATTAATGATAATAATAATAAATTTTGAGAAAAATGTACCACAGCTGGGAAGAACGTTCCAGTGCCCCGTGATTTTGATTTCATTTCAAAGTTGGAACTAGGAGGGTATGGTAAGAAGTTTCCAGCAAAAGGTGATGGCCCTATGAACACACGAGTCATGCTTGTTTTAGGGAAAGAATGTGGGGCGCGGGGGATCATCGTGGGTTGTTGATTAGTGACAGTCAACAACCGGTTGTTTTGAATCGAAGAGGGGGGTGATGACACTGCCACAGTTGAAGCATACCCATGACAACACTTCCCATAAAGCAAACTTCGAATGTGACCATCATAATCCCCAGTTAGGTCTGCTAAGGGGTTCCAAACTTCTGAATCCTCAACTTTGTCACTCTCATCATCATTGCAGCTTCCATGTTTAGGAATTAATTTACTCTGTGACTCATTTACTAATAATGAAGGAGATGATGATAATGAAGTGAACTTAATATCTTCAGTTTCAAAATTATCATGCTCAAAATCATTGTCGGAGAGATAGTCAGCAGGTGAAGGTGAAGACAATATTATAGAGCTGTCACCACCAATACTTGGGGAGGAATTCTCTAGGCTAGCCACAGAAGTCAATCCATCCATTAAGATGTTGTTCCAAAAGATCTTTTTCATCACATTTCCAATGTTATCAGGTGGTAATAAAAGGATTTGGCCGAGCTTCCGGACCCCGTACTTAAAAGCAAAGCATATGCGGTGGTAATTACCTGCACATACAAAGAATGAGGGAGGCAGTTCTTCTGTTGCCACCCCAAGGTTGAGCATATTGCATCTTAAGTTTTAAATAATTTAATATCAATTTTTCCACTAATAATTTGTTTCGAGAATGCATAAGCCAATTTTGACACTTTCATTATAAGCTTTTCTTACATAAAAGTGCATCATTAAATATTAACTAGTTTGGACTGAAAGAAGAGAATAGTCTTTAGTGTTACTTACCTAAACACACTTGAAAACATTACAATTGAGTAAAAGGTCAGTTTGGTCCTCGAAGTTGCAAAAAAGGCGTCAAATAAGTCCTTATATAGAAGATTCTGTCCGGACGTGCCATTTGAGGTGGCTCCCGGTGGAATTTTGTGATAAATTTTTTTGAGCATCTTATTCATTAAGTCTAGTTTACTCATACCAAATTTCAGCTAAAAATTCAATCGGGAAGGCATTCAAATGAATTCCTGAAGATAATAGCACTTTTAACGGCACAGTTATCTTCAAGAATTCATTTGAATGTCTTCCCGATTTAATTTTTATCTGAAATTTGGTATGAGTAAACTAGACTTAATGAATAAGATGCTAAAAAAAATCATCAAAAAAGTCCACCGGGAGCCACCTCAAATGGCACATCCGAACAGAATCTTCTATATAAGGACTTATTTGACCCCTTTTTTGCAACTTTGAGGACCAAACTGACCCTTATCCCCATTACAATTTACTCACTTGTTTTGTTTTTTCTAGGAGATTATAAATATATTCTTTACCACTTATTCTTGTTCAATTAATTAAATTGTCAGGGTGCATTTCTATAAACAAAACATGCATTAGATTATGAGGTTTACTAGATGCTTCTTTACGATTTATTTCCTAAAGAAACAGATTGGGGGTTTCCTTAATACACCTTTACCAATTGTTTCCAAATTAACAGATATATTTGGTCTACAAATATTATATAGATCAAAGCTTACTATACCTTTATGAACACTTCGGCCGACATTGTTGTTCTCCTTCAATGGATCAACTATATTAAGATATTTTTGTTGAAATACCCTTTTGTTACTTTCAGGGGCCCTTGATGGAACTGCGAACATTTCCATACAGTCCCGCAAACGTTCTTCAGCAAGCAATAGATTTGTCTTTCCATTGTCAGGCAATTCAACTGCATGGATAGAGAGTACCATAATTAAAAAATAAATGAAAGAGCATCTTCTTCCTGAGGATAAAAATATAACATAGAACCATATAGCAAGTCATGCAGAAAAAGATAAGAAAGTCAAGGCATGATATATAACAGCAGAGTTAACTCATTCCTTACCCACTATGTCAGGGAGGGATGATATACGAACTGGCCCATTCAGACTGACACAATACTTCCCCCAATCAAATTTGCTATAGTAGTCCAAAAATCTATAGAGAGCCTAATAGCACAATAAACCAAACCGGCCATCAAGAATTAAACTAGCTAAATCACTAATGCATAATATTGGCAATATCAATATGGTGATTCCATCGTTAATTACCGCGACAGGAGTGTTTAAGGATGCATGGAAGAGTTGGAAGATATACAAGACAAGTATTTCCAATGCATATGTCGATAGCAAGCCATGATGAGCACCGAGTATCCGGCTTTCATAGTAACACCAACACTTTATCAGCATAAGTGTTCGCTTGAAAAGGTGATTTTTTCCAACAATGCGATCTATCTAGATCACAGTAATAAAAAATTACAAGTGAATAAGATAAATTACATCCAGTCAAGGAAAAAAGTGAAATTATTCAATAACCATAGCAAAACCGGATGTGGGGTGGTGTTTAAAATATAATGAATGGATCAATGGAGACTAGCTATAAAGGACTGGCGATGGATGTGAATGGATGGTTAATCAAATAGATTGAAGGATAGACAACTAGCTGTGAGCATATGTGGCACTAACATTATTATATGTAAGAATAAAATTCAATCAACAGAAAGAGGCACACAGAGAGCATTGAGAATTGAGATAAAGTAGATATCAACATAAAAAATTAAAAAATAAGAAACTGGAAAAATCTTCTGAAGAAGCATTCGAGTGATTGCTTCTTGACATATAAATTAAAGGGAAATTTCACCAAATATAAGTAAAAACAATGTGATTTCCATAGCTAGGGCCTAGGAGTACTATGTTTTCCCTAAAATCCTAAACTCATACTGCTGTAATTTGACATTATTCGGCATTAATGTGGTAGTATTAATCACATAATTGATAGTATTTTCCATACATGATAGTAATTACTCCTATCTAAGGAAAAAAAACATAATATTCTTGTTGTAATTTGTGTTATCCAGAACAAATCGAGTTTTATCACATTAATTAGTCTTTACAGACTTGCATGAACAAATTAAAATGATGAAGTGTTGAAGCACTGATATTTTACCTGCTCAAGGAAACAAAGAGTGCAAAGCCCCCCTAGCTGATTAAAGGATATATCAATTGCAATATTTTGAACAACACATCTAACAATTTTAACCTGCTAGCAGAAATCCAAATTTCTCAGAAAAGGGAAAAGTGTGAAACAGTAAGCTAAATAAGTTGGCTCGACCACAGAAAGCATATTTGAAAAGTGTTTTTATTAAAAAGCCACACTAGCCTATGGCATACCAATCATAGACCAAGTCCCTTTCTTAAAAAGGGATTTGACTTACCAGTTACCACCAAGCTAAGCACCAAAGAATAGCATATAAAAAATCAGATGCTTGCAAGTTGTGACCTTCACTAATTGTGTGGAACGCAAAATAATAGAAAATGTTTTTAAAAATTAAATGAGATTAAAAAACCTCAGCATTGATGAATTGAGTATCCCTGACATCATACTCGGTGTTTTGTTTCTGTTCTTCTGCCTGCAAACTGGCTAGGATATTTTGTGCCAAAGATTCCTCGATGGTAGGATCACTTAGAGCAGTTAAATCTATGTCTCCATTGGGAAGATATGTCTTCAGTGGTACTGAACCATACGGGAAGACCTAAAAATTTCAAATAATCCAAGTGAGAAAAAAGATATAATGAAGAATATGCTATTGGTACAAAAAATAAACACATACTCTAACTTTAATTTTAACTATTCTACAAGAAATGCAATCAAGCACATCATACCATTTAATTTACATTTTTAAATGCATGTATACTATAGTTCTTCTGAATTGTGGATCATGTAGAATGCTGCATCATCAGACAGTGATAGTTAGCTATCAAGTGTAAAGTTTATTTATATTAGCAAAATAACATAATGCCATCAACCTTTTCTTAAATAAGTCACTACACTCCAAGCATTTCTTGTTGTACTTTCTTTTTTGAATGTTCATTCTTTTTATTCTTTTTTGGGAGGTGGGATGGGGATAATCTATTGATTTGGTGATGGAATTCAAAAAGAATGCATTGCAATGTCATGCTTAATGTTTATAAGTCTTAACCGAGCATATATCATTTCCAAATTACAACACCACCTTCATCTTTTCCTGGATTTCATTGATATATATTATTTCCTTATTTGAAAAGGTACAATTGCTACATAGAAGCTTCTTGATTTGTATTTATTCTCAGTGTATTCTATCATTACTCATCTAGAAGCCCTAAAAAGGATGCCTGCTGAATACATCTCCAAGCTTTAACACGAATCACTCATGGGAAGAAGGAAGGACTGTAAGCAGCTTCACATCACTTCCAAATTACAACACTACTTTCATCCTTTCCTAGATTTCATTGATATATATTATTTCCTCATTTGAAAAGGTATAATTGCTATATAGAAGCTCCTTGATTTGTATTTATTCTGTGTATTCTCTCATTACTCGTCTAGAAGCCAAAAAATGGATGCCTGCTGAATACATCTCCAAGCTTTAACACGAATCACTCATGGGAAGAAGAAAGGACTGTAAGTCAAAATTTGTTAAATTTGACCATTTATTATTCAAAACCCATATTACGCAGTACTTTATAATACCAAAATAATTTTGAGTACTTCATTTTAATATCTACTCTACTATTAAAATGTTAGTTTGTTACGTAGTACTATGTATAAGTTTTACATGTGTATATTTTTTTTATATATCAATGGTCAATCATCGATGTTGGAGACGTGAAAGTCCAAGTGTGAACTTGAAAAGGGAGGTAGTACATTTTACTAGTGCTAGCAAAACGTCAACTTCACCAAATTTTAACTTCCTTTCCTTTTCTTAAAATTATATAGTGGGGGTTGAAAATATTTAATATAGAGAAATACAAATAAAGTTGAGTGGGTGAATAACAAGACAAAGTTACAATCCTAGTTTGGTTATTTTTTCATGCAAAGACCATATGACCATATACAGATGAAAACACATTCATCTAGGGGGGGATGTGATAAATACTGAATGTAATTGACAAAAGAAACTTAAAAATATGTTTACAAATACTAATCTCCAGCAAGCCAAGGATTGTCGTCTTCAATTTTTTAATAAATTATTGAATCACGATGAACACAGAACACTAGCAATCTCTCACTACATGCACAAATGCACTAGGAAATGTGGTCATGATGCAGTGCTGCACTCAGAGTAAAACTTTACTCAAAAAAATCAACTTCAAATCATTAGCACAAACAGAACATAATATCAATTTGTAAATCACTTCAGAGGTAAGGAATTGAACCGAAATTTTTTGGAAAAAAAAATCTTATGGATATTGGATAATAAAACAACAAAACATTCAAAGGTACAGCCCAGAAAAGAAGCAATCAAGTAGAGAAAGCATATACATGCAAAAGCAAAGAAAAACCCGAAGCAGAAGCAGTGGAAAAGGAAAATGTATGAAGCAGATGGATGTATATACCTCACAAGGAGCACAGCCTCTGATGAGGTTCTGCATGAACTCAATAACGTCCTTCCGCTTCTCCTCGGAGTCCATAGTCGGGTGGACATAATTCAGGACTTCTCGAGCCGTTTCATCAACTAGTTCCCAGTAATCCTCACCAATGGAAGAAGGATCAGGATGATCCATTGCCCGACGGGCACCCATTCCCAGCCTGAATGAACTTCCGGTGCAGGACCCCATATCACTGAATTCACAGAGCTTAGGGCTTAAAGACCTTCAAGGCGCAGGACAAATACACCCAAAATGAAGAGGGAGTATATATATAAGTCCATTCAGTCCAAATGCATCTCTGAATTTAATTACTTATACAGACATAAGATTACAGATTTGAAGTCTGTAATCTGTTTGCATTAATGCCCGGAGAGAGAGGCAGAGGTAGGGGTGGGTTCGGTTTTTGCGGTTCGGTTTTGACCTAAAACCAAATGTAGAATCAAAGTAAAAAGTTCGGTTCGGTTTCGGTTCGGTTTTACACTCCAAAACTTGGAACCACGGTTTGATTGATTCGGTTTGTTTCGGTTCGGTTTCGGTTTTTTCGGTTTTTTTACCAAATTTTTTTCACTTGACTTTAAATTGATATAATACTTAGAGGGATCAAACATATTACATAAAGAATTCAAGCACAATATAACGACAAATAAAATAAAAATGAGAAGAGATAAATATGTCTTGAATTCTATGAGTATGCGAGATAGATAAAACTGTATATATTATTGATTTAATTTGTTTGTGAGTAGTTTGAAATTTTTTCATGAATATATATGTTCTATGTGATATAGTTGAGATTAATATTTATTGTTTTATCAATATAAAATCTTTAAGTTAGCTAAAAATAAAAGTTAATTACTACTAATAACTAGTAAACACATATGATCATCATTCAATATAGCTATTATTACAGACAATGAATGTGTAAATGAATTTATAAACTAAATTAAATTAAACATAACACAAACATTTTTTCTCTAACACAAGAAAACCAAAGACTATTGATGATATTAAGATTAACTAGAATTAATGCTTCACAATTAACATATAAATTTCATATTTTAAATAGTTCGGTTTGTTCGGTTCGGTTCGGTTTTGAAGGGTAAAAACCAAAACCGAATCGAACAACTTCGGTTCGGTTCGGTTTTTTACATTCGGTTTCGGTTTCTTAGCGGTTCAGTTTTATTTGGTTACGATTCGGTTTAATTTGATTCGGTTTTCGGTTTTCGGTTTTTCGGACCCAGCCCTAGGCAGAGGGTGGCACCTGGAAATTCACAATTTTACCGCATCTACCCCACCCCCTTAATGAATTCTCGTTTCCTAAATGTGTAAATTCAAACCCGGGAAGGCGCCCTTTCTAGTTTCTATCTGGGCATCGGTTGATCAAAGGTTTTTTGAAATAATGGAAATAAAATTTATTTTATGAAAATATGATTGAAAGTTAGGGAGTATGGAGTATTAGGGGGACTTCCTCCTTAGTCCTTCCTAAATTATCTTTCAAACTACATTTTTTATTGAAATTAGGTTAAAGGGTTCAATTTGAGTATAGGAGGTTTTGACCGGCCGTCGCCAATTGCGGCGGTTCCCGGTGGAATTTTTTGATGAAATTTTTTGAGCATCTTCTTCATTAAGTCTAGTTTACTTATACCAAATTTCAGCTAAAAATTCAATTAGAGAAGCAGTCAAACTACATTTTTTTTATTGAAATTAATAAAGCGAGAATTGTGTAATGACGAGAAAAATGTGTACGCATCTATAAAAAATTGTTGTGAATTATAAAGAGAAAGAGAAGATTATTTTGAGACGAGCGAATAAAAGAAATTTGAAAGATAATTGAAGTGTGGAGAGAGTATAATACAATGTGAGTCATTTAAATGTAAAAAATGAATATAAATTATTCTGAATGAAGTTAAAAGTAATTGTATTTAAGAGATCACATTTTTAAAAACACATCATAAAATTGGAATTATTTCATACTGTTGTTATTATTATTATTATTATTATTATTATTATTATTATTATTATTAACACGGTCATGAGCCTTAAATAGGAGTAAAATTACTCCATGATGCAATAATAGGACTGTAATCTCTTTATTCTCGAAATATGAATAATTTATGTTCTATCTTCCTATGTTAATCCTTTCTATAATCCCAATAAGCTAGACTTATTTTAACACAGAGTACTACCTAATAAATGAAAGAGAAGATAATAAGTTCGAAAAGTAAGAGTAATTATGTATTTTTAAAGGAAAAACTTATCAAAAAATAGGAAAATGTATCAAACTTTTAAGTGTCTATATTATTATAATACTTCATCTGCCCCCTTATAATTGCCTCATTTTTTCATTTTTAGATGGCACTCTATTATTGTCTCATACAATGTTTAATAACACTTGTGTGACTCTAATGCATTCTTACTTTATTCTCACTTTTATCAATTCATATAATTCTACTTGTTTTAAAAATCGCATCACTCTCTTCTGTCTCAATATTAAGGGGACGGAAGGAGTAGTATTTAATTCCAAACTCCCTTAAGTTCCCGAAATAGGACTAAAAAGGTTTGAAATTTCAAAATATGACTGTCATGTTTTTATTCTCATAATAGGACTAATTACTGTCAAATTTGGAAAATACTGCCATGTTTGAAGTCTGATACTGCTAAAACATGACAGTAATTAGTCCTATTTTGGGAATAAATATATGAAAGTCCTATTTTGGAATTTTCAAACTTTTTAGTCCTATTTTGGATAATATCTCTTTTTAATACCAGCCAACCACTTTCTTTCGCTATTGTCAAATCTATATAATATAATAAAGCAAACCCCTAAAGAACACCTTAAAGGAATTATTGACGTGTGGCAACATCTTTGTAGAAAAAATGACATGTGGCAACACCATAAATGAAATACTATCCAACTTCCAAAACTTCACTCTAATGTAATCTAATAATATATTATGTTATATATTAATTTATATAATGTCTCCTCTATTGTCGTGTGTTGTTTTAATTAAAAATACTTGGTAACTTTAATTAAAAATATTATTAAATCATTGTTATATTAAATTTGATAACTATTAAATGGTATCTAGCAAAATCACTTATTGTACAAAAATAAAAATACAATTAGATCTTTTGAGTCAATATTTGTTAACAATGATTATTAATAGTTCAAAAAAGGTTGTAAAATAATAAGTATTTTAGAATATGATTTTGGTAGTGTTGGTACACGGGTCTAATTTCTGCTCGAGATCCGTCGGTCGATAATATTCTGATAATTGGTGTTTTTTCAGATGGTGCTGGTTGTATATGGGAGAGCTCCACAAAGCAGTCGGCGGGAAGGCTAGAATTGATGGGAAGCGCATTTAGTGCACTAGATGTGGGGGATTTTATGGTTGGGAATTATCCGCTGAGGGCTCGACACATCATCATGTACACCTATTACATTGTCGTACACTCCCATTTATTACATTATAAAGAGTTGACAAACTTGCATACTATAGTTGGACTTTGTTGGACTTTCGGACCGCGAGAACTTAACCTCAACCGGTGGTAAAGAATCAATATTGAAGACAATGAAATTCAAAAATATATATTTGTATTTTGGACAACTCACAACATGCATGTGTCAACCCACTATAGATACATCTTTCAAAATCAGTCAAAATCCACAGGGCTAGCCCGTTTCATACAAACTTAATGTGCCAGATGAAATGTAAAATAATAATCAATTTCATTTCAAACCTACAATACAACAGTCAACTAACACTTTTTTAACTATTATTTTATCTAATAATATTTGAGTATGTATTCATTTTTGTATTTTCTATTTAAAGTATAACGTATATCATCATAACACAAACTGAAATATTTGGCACGAGATTGAGGCGTTTATCCATTTTGTGTATTTTCCCTTTCATTTTCTTTAAAGTTTACTTTCACTTTTTGTTGGAAAAACTTAATTAAGACTAACACCGTGCGACACACGGGTGCACATACTAGTTCCTATATATCGTAGCTGCTCAAATCCTATGAAAATCTAATCACTTTTGTTAAACGCTAATCTCATACTCTAACCCTGCGATAAAAACTTAACTACGGGTACGCTTTGCAATTTAGATCCTATTAAATTATGTTTAATACATTAATAACTTATTAAAGAAACTAGGTAGTATTAAATTACTGGGCAGCACTGCCATATTTGTACCGGATAAGATATCAAATAAGATGTCCCATTAATAATATTTCATTTCAAATAAAAGTATAAAACTATTTCCATTTTTGGTCTATTCGACCATCAACAAATGTTAAAGACAATTAACGAATTAAGACTAGCCTGGAATCCCCTCCCATCGATATATTCTTCCGTTTTTTTAATTGCAACACTTCTCATTTACATTTGACAATGCACAATTTTTTTTATCATGGCAATGCACAATTTTGAATATTAATATATTAAATTCTCTAATTGTATTTTTTAATCATATTTCAAAATTTTAGAATGAGAAGAATTTAATTATATTATTAAAAAATTCAATTTTTAATGCATTCATAAGTAAATAATATGTAGTTAAAGTAGAGCACGTGAATAATGTAAAACTTCTAATGTAGTTGCAGAAGCAGGTACGGGGATACAACAAAACCCAAAAAAAGTAGGATAGGGATATGGGGGTATATCTATGAATATTAAAAGTTATGGGGTGTATTTATAAATATTAAAAATTATGGGGGTGTATTTATAAATATTAAAAATTACTCCCTCCGTCCCTAAATGTTTGTCCTACTTTCCCGAAATGGATGTCCCAAAATGTTTGTCCTACTTTTTTCTTTCCTTATTTGGCAAACAAATCTTTATCAAACAGTGTCAAACAATGTCGCTACAGTGTAAAGTCAAATTCATTTTCTTAATATCTATGAAGTCAAACTAGGACAAACATTTAGGGACGGAGGTAGTACAAGATTTATGGCATTGAAGGATTTCACATATTTTATTTCATATACATTAGTGTATCTCGAAATATAAATATAGTAAATGAACTAACAACCACAGTTTTAAAATTAAAAATGCAATTACTCAAAGTTCTTGAATAATGGATCGGGAAATAGATAACAATACTCTAATAGAAACTGAAAGTTGTCATACATATTTTCACTGAAGCTACTAATTTCCAGAGATAACAGCGTCTTTCAATGGGACAGCCTCCAATTTTGTTTCATCTGTGGAAGGTT